TCATAGTAGTGATGAGATATAACATAGTAGTGATGAGATATATCATAGTAGCGATGAGATATATCATAGTAGTGATGAGATATTTCATGATGGTGAGATATATCATAGTAGTGATGAGATATATCATAGTAGTGATGAGATACATCATAGTAGTAATGAGATATATCATAGTAGTGATGAGATATATCATAGTAGTGATGAGATATATCATAGTAGTGATGAGATATATCATAGTAGTGATGATATATATCATAGTAGTGATGAGATATATCATAGTAGTGATGAGATATATCATAGTAGTGATGAGATATAACATAGTAGTGATGAGATATATCATAGTAGCGATGAGATATATCATAGTAGTGATGAGATATTTCATGATGGTGAGATATATCATAGTAGTGATGAGATATATCATAGTAGTGATGAGATACATCATAGTAGTAATGAGATATATCATAGTAGTGATGAGATATATCATAGTAGTGATGAGATACATCATAGTAGTAATGAGATATATCATAGTAGTGATGAGATATATCATAGTAGTGATGAGATATATCATAGTAGTGATGAGATATATCATAGTAGTGATGAGATATTTCATGATGATGATATATATATCATGGTAGTTGGATATATCATAGTAGTGAGATATATCATAGTGGTGAGATATATCATAGTAGTGAGATATATCATAGTAGTGAGATATATCATAGTGGTGAGATATATCAGAGTAGTGAGATATATCATAGTAGTGATGATATATTTCATGATGGTGAGATACATCATAGTAGTGATGAGATATATCATAGTAGTGATGAGATATATAATAGTAGTGATGAGATATTTCAGGATGGTGAGATATATCATAGTGATGAGATATATCATAGTAGTGATGAGATATATCATAGTAGGGATGAGATATTTCATGATGGTGAGATATAGTGATGAGATACATCATAGTAGTAATGAGATATATCATAGTAGTGGTGAGATATATCATAGTAGTGATGAGATATATCATAGTAATGATGAGATATTTCATGATGATGATATATATATCATGGTAGTTGGATATATCATAGTGGTGAGATATATCATAGTAGTGAGATATATCATAGTAGTGAGATATATCATAGTAGTGAGATATATCATAGTAGTGAGATATATCATAGTAGTGAGATATATCATAGTAGTGAGATATATCATAGTGGTGAGATATATCATAGTAGTGAGATATATCATAGTAGTGAGATATATCATAGTGGTGAGATATATCATAGTAGTGAAATATCAAAATTTAGTCAAGGTTTCATGGCAATGGTCCATACTGGTAGTAACGATCAATGCCACTTAAATGGACTGCAAAATACATTGGAAATTCCTATTCTATACCATGTATCAAATCTGAGTGAAAATGAAGACAACAGTTTCATTAACCTTACCTGAAAGCTCTGTGTGTATATGCATCAACCAGCAAATCTAAATTTAAGAAATCTGTAGAGGATCTAGCTGAACATTTAGCTGGTGGCGGTGAAGTCAAGTACAATGCAAGACTCGGCAGTTTATCTCCTGATGTTGCCATGGATATACATTTTATTAGGTATCTAAAATTAAAATAACACACACAAATGAAACTTTGCGTAAAACTGATTTCAATACTTGATCTAAATCAGTCATTAAATAAAAGTCAGGTAATGGGTAATAATTATTGAATATTATATTATAGCATTATCAATACCAGTGGATTTTATGATGTCATTGCAGCAGATTATTTGCGATAATGTGTTACACTATTGAGCATCAAGGCCCTGTCCCATGAATATGAATACAATGTTGATTTCGAAAACGAATAAAGAAGAAACTATTGAAAAAGAAGAAATATTGTTAGATAACAAGTATTTAATACCACAATCGACATCAAATAAAACGGTCCATAACCAATAACAGCGGATTTCATTATCGAAATCAGACAATATTTTGAAGGCATCGTCGTCTGCTCTGTACGTTAACGCGCGTTCGGTCGAAGCATTCCATCTAGTACGCGCGCTTCTAGATTCCGCGACTGATGCTGCTGTCCAGGTGGCCTCCTGATTAGTTCGCCTTATTGTGTTGTTGAAGTGAGGCTAACCGAGGATAATTTATCCAAGCAAATGCGATAAACGAAATGGGGGTACAATGTATGTCTACGAGTACAGAGAAATGGATTTGTTCTGTTTTGTACTACAAATTTGCGAAACGAGATCGACGAAGACCGACGTGACTCTTA